CCGGGTCGCCGCGCCCCTTGCCCCAGCTGCCGCCACCTCTTCATTGTGTCCCGGCTGCTCAGCGAGGCGCTGGGAGCGAGCTTTGGGGGAAGTCATGTTTTGGGCACTTCTGGAGGGCCCGTAATGTTATGCAACCAGCCGTTGAGGCGGATATGGCTTGACAGAAAAGACCAAAGTTGGGAGGGGCTGGTTTAGGAAGTTTGGCTTTCTGATCCAAAGGAATCTGGACAGGATGTTTTTCCAGAGTTTGTTGGCCTTCTAGGGTTTTCATTGTGCGGTTTGGAAATCATCCTGCGGCCTCGACCTGTGATTGTCCTTGTGTGTTGTTTGTGTGTGTGTTGAAGTGGGCTAAAAGAATTCCGTTAGAAAATCTCCTTTATGTTTATTTCACTGTTCAAAACCAAGCAGCACATATGCTGGTTCAAGACCAAAGTATCATTTAAGTTATACTAAACTTTTGTTTCTAGTAAAATGTTTATTGGAGGCTTGAGCTGGGATACAAGCAAGAAAGATCTGACAGAATATTTGTCCCGATTTGGGGAAGTTGTAGACTGCACAATTAAAACAGACCCAGTCACTGGAAGATCAAGAGGATTTGGATTTGTTCTTTTCAAAGATGCTGCTAGCGTTGATAAGGTAGGCTTGTGTTTAGTTGCTTTGTCTCTTTGCGTTTGTTTTTGGTTTTTGTTTGTTTTGTTTTGCAAATTGTTCTGCAGCTTGTGTACTATTGACATTTTTCTTAAATTGCCTCCTAGGTTTTGGAACTAAAGGAACACAAACTGGATGGGAAATTGATAGATCCCAAGAGGGCCAAAGCTTTAAAAGGGAAAGAACCCCCTAAAAAGGTTTTTGTGGGTGGATTGAGCCCAGATACTTCTGAAGAACAGATTAAAGAATATTTTGGAGCCTTTGGAGAGGTGAGATGTGATTGTGTTGTTTACAGAATGTTCATCTTGGGTCTAATTTGGCACTTAATACTTGCCCTGGGGTTAGGATTAAATTGGTACTCCAGTGCCTTTTAGTAAACATCTTGATTGCTGCTTTCTATGTGAAAAATGAAAACCAATATCATTTATTTTGGTCAAAAATCTTCTGTGTTTTGATGGTATTCATTACAGGGGAATTATCGTCTCTTGGTTACAAAATGCTGTTAAAAGCTGTTTTACTCTGCTCTCGGTGCGTGACTTCTGGGTTGGTCATAAAGCAGTGTCTTCAGAAGTCACCTGATTAGCAACTGTGTTATCTAAGCGCCTTTGGTACTATACCTTTTTACCATTATTGGATGATCTTGACATCTTGAATGTGGGTCTTGTTTGCAGATTGAAAATATTGAACTTCCCATGGATACAAAAACAAATGAAAGGAGAGGATTTTGTTTTATCACATACACAGATGAAGAGCCAGTCAAGAAATTGTTAGAAAGCAGATACCATCAGATTGGTTCTGGAAAGGTAAAACCATTTAATTACATTGAACAAATTTGAGAATTGGACAGAAAAAATTACTCTGAGAATAAAATGGTTTGATGCATTAGAAATCCTTTCTGTTTACAGTGTGAAATCAAAGTTGCACAACCCAAAGAGGTGTATAGGCAGCAACAGCAGCAACAGAAAGGAGGAAGAGGTGCTGCAGCTGGTGGGCGAGGTGGTACTAGGGGTCGTGGCCGAGGTGAGAATTCTGGGAAAGGGATTCCATTGTTTAAACTGTATACTGCTCAGTAAGATTAAGCCTGTGAGAAAGTAAGGAGAATTTTAAATCTGAAACTACTCTTAACAGATAAACTCTAGCTTGGGGGTGTGTGATTTGTTTCGTTTTGTTTTGTTTTCTAATGACCTTGGTGTGGGTAGGATTATAAATTCAACCCAACCTGGATAATTTAGCTAGGGCCCTCTGTCTTGGAATACAAATTATAAAAGAGGGATATAGCTCAGTGTAAGACCCTACATTCAATCCCAAGTACCACAATAAAAATGATCTTACTGGTTTTATTTGTTCCAAGAATGGCTACTTTTGACAGCAGCATCACTGTTACGGAAATAGCATTATATAATATACACTGATGTGTTTTAATGGACAGGAGTCCTTGTTTGAACCAGAACAGCCTGTCCATCTTCCACTTTGTTGGAAAACAAAATGATTTTTCCATTACATTTAGAAACCTTAAGATTGGCACAATTGGGTTTTTTTGTCCCCTTGTGACAACAAAAGAAAACTTAACTCTAGTTGATAACATTGTTTGTGTCCATTTTCTTTTTAAGTTTTGGAATAAGAACGTATTTGTGTTAAAATGGGGGGAAAGGGGTTGTTTCCTAACAATCACTGCATTGTTTCAGGTCAGGGCCAAAACTGGAACCAAGGATTTAATAACTATTATGATCAAGGATATGGAAATTACAATAGTGCCTATGGTGGTGATCAAAACTATAGTGGCTATGGCGGATATGATTATACTGGGTATAACTATGGGAACTATGGATATGGCCAGGGATATGCAGACTACAGTGGTAAGAATATTTAATATACTTTCATAAAGCAATGGTATTAAAATTCAGTGTTAAAAATTTCTATTCTGAAATCGTGTGGGTTTTCCATTTATTGTTTGGAGTTGAGGTTTTGGGGTGTGTTATAAAGTGGTTATAATAATGTAGAGGACAGGGCCTGGGATATAGCTCATTGGTGATGCCATCTGCCTCGCAAGCACAAGGTCCTGAGTTAGAGCCCCGGTACCAAAAATAATGATGTAGATATTATGGTAATTCTAAAAGAATTGGGATGAGCTGAGTGTGGTGGTACATGCCTGTAATCCCAGCACCCTGGGCGGCCAAGATGGGCAAAGGCCATCCTGGGCAACTTAGCCAAACCCTGTGTCAAAAAATAATAAAAGGGCTGAGGATATAGCTCAGTGTAAAAGGCCCTGAGTTTAATTACTAAAAGCACTAGGATGAATTACATTTAACTTATACTGGTTATTAAAATATCAGTATTTTAATATGTGGTATGCAAAGTTTATACACATTTGTGGTTTTAATGTATTTGTGAAGATACCATTTTATAGAAACTTTCTTAGTAAGATTTGTGTCCTTTCAAAATAGGTCAACAGAGCACTTATGGCAAGGCAAGTCGAGGGGGTGGCAATCACCAAAATAATTATCAGCCATACTAAAAAGGAAGACATTGGAGAAAACAGGTGTGTATAAGAGTGCAAGAAACCAGTGGAAATGTCTAATTTAATTTAAAGATCAATAGACAAAAATAAGTAAAAAAAATATTAATGTAGCCTGTTTTTACTAAATTAATTTTAATTGCTTTATGAGCCTGTTTTGCCTAAAGTGTCTATAGATCTTTAACTTTAAAGTTTTATCTCACCTTTTTTAGTATTACAGAAAAACTTAAGAGTTTTTCTGTTTGCTTTGTGTACCAGGAGGTCTAGAGGAATAATTAAACTTTTTTAGAACTATTAACAGGTAAAGTACTGAAATGGGTACAACTTAAGGAAAACAAGAATGTTGTCTTCTAACTCTGACATTATACCTTGTTTGTACCCGCCAGCGGGAACTTCATTGCAGGCCGTGTGTCACCCTGACCACGTCTATCTCTGGGGGTCGCACGTTGCGGGCAGAGCGCAAGGCATACACCAGAAAACGCTGTCCTGTGGTATGGTCTCTTCCAACTTCATGTACCAGCGTAAAGATTAAAGTGGAAAACTTCAGACTTTGGCTTCTTTTTTTAATCTTTTTTGGAGATTAAGTGTCTAAACTTAACTTAAATGGTTTTTTACAGGAGTTAAAGTACATAAATGCCTTTTTACAGCTTAATCATTTTTGGTCTTCTGTTTAGTGTTGTATTTCAATTGTGGAGCCTCATTTTAAGTGTTCATTCTTTAAGATTTAATGCTTGCTTTTTCTTTTTATAGCTAATAGTGAAATCTACAAACCAAAACAAGAACTTTTAAATCTGGGATATAAGTTAAAGATCATATGCACACACAAAAATTTGTTATATAATACATAAATCTAAAATTTCATGTTTGTGATAGCATTTTACTTGGCTTACTAGAAATACTTCTAGTGGACCTTAATTTATCTGTTCAACCTATGAATATGGGAAAGTTGCATTCCCAGATTCTTTCTGACTAAATTGGGATTTTATATCATTTGTAAACTCCAAGGTGAGTTTATCAATTACCCAGACTGCATTTTGCAAGTGAATATGCATGTGATCTTTAATTGTTGAAGAAAAGAATAAAGTGAGGACTTAAAACAATTCATGAAAGTGGACCTTTGAAAGCTTGTCAGAATTGCACAAATCTAATTGTTACTTTGTTTTTGTTTTTAGGAGATGCTAAAGAAATCTTGCAGGAGGACATTGAAGATTGGTCTTCTGTTTCTCTAATGATTATTTTGTAAAAGACTTTCTAGTATACAAGACACAATTGTGTCCCAACTGTATATAGCTGCCAATTAGTTTTCTTTGTTTTTACTTTGTCCTTTGCTATGTGTTATGACTCAGTGTGGATTTGTGTTTATATACAAATTTTATTTGTATGATTTCATGTTAAACCCCAAATAAATGCTTCCTTATGTGATTTTTTTTTTTCTGCGTGAGGTGCTACATAGCTCTGTAAAGATGTAATTTTAAATAAGCAATAATTAAGGTACAGTCTATAGGAAGAAACTGGTCCTTTAGCCAGTTGCAGGATGGATCACCCTGTTTTTCCCCCATTTTTGTATGTATGTACTATGCTGTAAGCCTTCATTTCTTTTAGCTGAGGCTTCTGCTACACCTCTGAATAGTGTTCTTATCTCCAGATAACTTTTATCTCAAAACCTGAGTCATCATGTTGTGATTAGGGGAAGCTTTCTAGTAGACCTTCTGTTGTGTTTTTTGGTACCAGCAAGCAAACTCAGGACCTTACACTTGTGAGGGAAGCATGGTGGCACTGAGCTAAATCCCCAGCTCTAGACCATGTTTTCTGTGCTCTGTTTAAGAAAGACACTGGTGGGCGGGGGTGTGTAGCTCAGTGAGAGCACTTGATTAACATGCACAAGGCTTGGGTTATATCCCCAGCACCTGCCAAAAAGAAAGAGGTTGTTGATAGTTTTTTTTGTAGTTATTTTGACCTTAGAGTTACCTGGTGGTCTGTTATAAGCTTTGGCTAATCATAACACCATGACTTTGTCCTCTTGATTACAAGAGAAATTGAGATGCACAGATAGCACTAAAACACGTGATACTTAACGCTTTAAGAAGTATTGAGAATTAAAACGGATTTTTATCAGAAGTGAGATTTTTCAAAAGTTTGGTCAAAAGATGATTAAATAGTGGGAGGATAATTTAGTTGTATTTTTATTGATGTGTCATAGCCAACAGATTGAATAAAAATGCTTTGTATTTGAGCATTAGGAAGATGTTTTAGAGTTGTGTAATATTGAGTTTAGAGAAGTCATGCTAGTTGATCTTGCTTTTTAGTGCATGAGCTGAATAGACATTTCCATGTTCAGGGTTAATGAAGGGACAGTGAAGATAGCATTTATGTGTTAGGTTTGTTAATGTGATTGAGTTGCCGTTTTGGCATACCTTTCTGATATTTAAAAAAGTTTTATATCTAGATTTTAAATGACTTTTTGGGTAAAAACATAACTTTGAATTTCATATTCAACATAGTTGGATTTAGGGAAGTTTGTTTCCATGGCTCCGTGTTAGCTGCTGGGGGGGTGGCGTATGTGTTCACATTATAGTAGTTGACTATACACTTAACGGTGTGAGTTAAAACCAATACCTGTCCCCTTCCTAATTTGATGCCTGCAACTTTGTTTCAATGTTATGTGTACTAGCTGGTCTATCAGGTTCAATGCCTTGGTCTTATTTTGCTATGGCCAAGTACCAATATCTGCTGTTTCAACAGATTTATTTTCCAACATGGAATCCTAGGGACTGGAAGGGAGATTATTTTTAAGTTGTCATGTCAATAGGTGTGTCTAGAGTAGTGAATCCTGTAAGTTCAAATTTATGGTTAGGTGACAAATTGAGATTGTCCTTTTCCCTGATCAAAACGAATAAAAGCTTTTTAAACAAAATACAAACTCTTCAATTAAGTCTTGGTATGTATGACTTTGAAAAAATGCTACATCTAAAGATTGCCTGAGATGGTTTACCAAGAATTAGAAATGAAAATACTTTGTGTTCAGGGGCTTTGGATTTGAGATTTGTCTTTGAGTGTATGAGTTCACTAACTGGTAATCCAAAATAAATTGCTAAAGTCAAATATTCTAGACAGTTGCAGTTCAGTGACCTGTAGTATCAAGGTTCCATCCCTAAGAATTTAGAACCAAACAGTTTAAATATTGAAGGGGGAGGTAGCGGTAGGAATTCTAAAATACTGTGATCTACAGGGTAGTTACCTGTTCAGTGTCTACCAAAATGTGATTGCCAGATTTATTTTAATCAAAGATGTATGGCCATTACTCAACAGTTGGCCATTTCTTTAGCTTTAAATATTATAGTCACACAGCCACTTACAAGAGTAGAACTGAACCAGGCATGGTGGCACATGCCTGTAATCCCAACACTTGGGAGGCTGAGGCAGGAGAATGGCTTTGAGGTCAAGACCAGGCTAGGCTACCAGCCTGTGAGTTCCAGGTCGGTCTTGACTACATAGTGATACCCTCAAGGATATCCGCTGGGTTACTAATAAGTGAAACTGCTGTTAAATGCACTGTTTTCGGGCAAGTGGCAAGAATCCTTTGCTAATCTGCATGAAATTTTAATACAAAGTAAGTCATAGCTGTTATATTCTATTAGCTGTTAACCAAATGATGCTGTTTCACAAATTGAGCTGATGACATGGCAGGTACATAAACAGTTTTTAGTTACAGCAGATAATAAGCATGTATATATACCACTTGAATTCTAATGTTGAACAGAATTATGTAATGCTCTGTAAAAATCCCTCAAAAGCTGGACCTGATGATAGCAGCAGTCTTAAAGACTGCAGGAGCATGTTGGAGCCCAAACTGGGCAACTTGGCAACTTAGATGCTACCTAAAAAATAGGACTAGGAATACTGCTCAGTATGAAGGTCCTGGGTTCACAACTCTATCCTCAAATCCTTAAAACTTCTTAGCTTTATAGATCTGGCATTGTATTACTGCAGTCTCACCTTTTTTAGCTAAGGCAGTGTGACTTGTTACTTTTTTTATTCCTTGAACATGTATTGCCATAAAAATGGCTGATCTTTTAGAATTCATTGGGTTTTACATTTTTAAAACCACGGAATTTCAGCAAGTGTTGGCTTAATTGCCGAAAGTAAAAGTACACCTCAACCTCCTTAAAAAACTAGGAAAAGATATGGTGGTTTGTTGGTAATTTCAGGATAATGCTGAGCATTTAAGACTTATTGTGTCGTTCAGGTGGCAACTTGATCTCTGGTTTTACCTTTCCATTAGTACCCATTCAGAGAGGTACTTGGGAGTGGTATTTGTATCATGTCAGTGTAGTTTGGAAAAGAAATCTCTTGTTCTTGAAGTCTAGAAGTTTAATACCACGAAGTCCCAAGATTGTGGATTCTGATAGACCAGCACAAGTACAAGTTTGAGAAACCCTGCTGCAGACAAGTTTTTTGATGGTTTGGTTTGGGTTTGGTTTCTTGTTAGGTTATCTAGGCTGACCTTGAAGTTGCTACGTAGCCCAGACTTGCCTCAAGCATACAATCCTTTGTCAACCTCTGGAGTGCTGAGATGTACCATGAAGCCTGACCAATGGATAGCTCCTCTTTGGTACCAGGGAATCAAATTTAAGTCCTTTCACTTTCAAGGCAGGTGGTGGCATCACTGAGCTACATCCCCAGCCCAGGATATCTCTTTTTGAGATTTACAAAAGGACCAAAAGTAAATTCTGAGACCCCCTACCCACCCAAGAAAGTGTCTATATGTAAATTTTAAGACAGAGCCGAGCGTGGTGGTACACATCTGTAATCTCAGCACTTGGGAGGCTGAGGCAGGAGGATCACTGAGTTCGAGACCAGCCTGGGCTACATAGTGTGTTCCAGGTCAGTCTCAACTACATAGACCCTGTCTCAAAAAGCCAAAAAAAAAAAAAAAAAATTTTTTTTAAAGCTGAGCATGGAGGTGCATGCTTGCAATCCCAGCACTTGGGAGGCTGAGGCAAAAGGATCATTGAGTTCAAGACTGCCTGGGCTATATATATATAGTTCCACATCAGCCTCAACTATATAGTGAGACCCTGTCTCAAAAAACAAAAAATAAATACATTTTAAATGTAGTTGCTGGGAAATTACAGACTTCTCTGAGAGCCATCTGGTTTAGTCTCTTGAGGGGCTGGGGTGTAACTCAGTGGTAGAGCCCTTTCCTTGCATGCAAAAAGCCCTGGGTTCAACCCCTACCACCAACCATACATTAAAGTCCTGGATTTTTGGCAACAGACATTCATTGAATTTGTTGTTACTGTTTACACAAAGTTTCTTCAGTTATTCTCTACTTAGGTGTTGGTTTTGACCGGTGAACACACAGGGTGATTTATTAAGAGTAAGGATAGTCAACCCCACAAAAAGTCCCACTCAAAACAGCCTAATGTTCAAGTTGGGGATACTATTAATTTAAAACACCAACTCTGTTTATATTTTGGAGTCCTAACATCTCAAGCCCATTAAACTCTCAGGCATACCTGATGCCGAGATTGCAGCTAACGTATTTGTCACTTCTGGGATGCTCTTCTACGTGTTAAGCTTGGTCAGTAAACCAAGTGGAGTTGTCCATGCCTGCAATCCCAGCACATGGGAGGCGGAAGCAAGAGGATCCAATGTTCCAAGTCTGGCCTGGGTAACTCAGCAAGGCCTTCCCTTGAAATTAAAACAAAAAATGTTACCAAGGACTGGGGTTGTATCTCAGTGCAATCCCTATCACTGCAAACACAAAAATAGGTCACTTGGCTTAAGAGTCCTGAGGTGTCTCAAGGAAAGCAGCATTGTTGCATCATTCCTAGGATGGAATGCGAGCCTGGGCAATGTGTTCCCATGGAAGATCTCTGAAACTACTTGGGTTATTTAAATTGCTCTTCAGCCACTACTCAGGGAATACATATTTTCATAGACCCTGCAAGCATAGAGTGGGTGGGAGTTGTGAGAGGTAAATGGGATTATAGGGTGGTTTCAGTTTTTTAAATTTTTATTTTGGCACTACTGGGAATTGAATCCAAGGACTTCACAGTAAGCTACATCTCCAGCTCCTTTTAATTTCCTTTTATTTTGAGACGGGATCTTGCTATGTCACTCATCTACCCAGGCTGGGCTCAAACTTGGAGTCCTCCTGTAA